CTGGCCCGTCACCAGCATACACAACAACCTAGCGACAAGGATAGATAGCAAACAAGCGCTAGGCATAGTTAGCGGACAGTGGTGTTCGATCGGTCTGTGATATGACGCACAACAGCTTGTGTTGGGTCGACTCGTGAATGGCCTTGCCCGTCGTGCGCTGCGGTACAGTGCTTGTTCATACAGGCATGTCCACAAGCACAGGGTTTCGCGGAGCCCACCGCTGAGGCCCTCGCACAGGCGGCAGTGTGAACATGGAGCCTCACTATCACACTGCACACAAGCCGAATATGCGCGTTAGCATTCAAATTCATACTTCGCCCCACCTCCGTGTTGTTTGTTTACAGTAGACAAATATACGACTTGGGTCCTAAAGTAGACATTATATGTCTAACCATTTGTCGTTGTCAACTTTGGTACACTGTGATCGGCTGTTCGGTGAGCGGTCAGGCTAGTTCAACCAGATACCATAATTGGGTGACCTTGACAACAGTACTGAATTATTGATCACGGGGAAAAACGATATAATGTCTAATACTAGAAAGGGGGGTGTCCGTAAGCAGTTATGCCGTTGTCTGGTCCACAAAATACCTTAACCGTGTGACGTGGCACCAGATAGTCTAAAAGGTGGATATTCATCAACTCTCAAAACCTTGTATGACGAATCGCGGGTCACGTGCTCACAATATCACCTTCAATTGACGGGCTGAATAAGTAGATATCCGTTCTGAACGATATTCAACGAAGTGAGCGACGACACAGACAAAGAACTCCAAGGGTTTTGCTTGATCCTTCGGTTACTCTTCACTGCCACTGTTCCTTAGACCTGCGTGCCAAACGTGGTTCGATGGGACAAAACAGGAAGAGGGGTTTCTTGATCCAACATTTGGGAAGATGAACGTTGTTGTGGTTGGTGTACCTTAACAGTGCTGCGATGTGTGTTAATGCGACTGCCAGTGGCAAGCAGGTGATCGATACCTACTCTCAGCTGGCGCAGTCGAAGCACTGGGGTAGCAGGTCCATAGCGAAAGTCTCGACAGATTAAAGATGATGCCTAGGTGAATCCAGTCCCCGTTTTGAAAAACCACGTGATGGTCCTTCGCTAAAACTCGGAGAGCAACGGTCAAGTTCTTCCGAAATTTTTTAGATATTGGTTTCGGTGTAGATCAGTGCGCGATTGAGTGATGGTGTAGTGATGTCTCCATGATTGGTGGCGAAACGTCTGCAATCAAACTGCCAAGCTCGGCGAACAGATCAACAGTAATCTGATCTACAGCCAACTAGTGCTGTGTTGTTCACGTTAGGTTTGATGCGACGCCTGGAACATCCTTTGACATAGGGGAATTAAAATCACTTATCATCCACTTAACCATGTCATGAACTGCTGTCATTCGGGGCATGCTTTTGCGCCCTTCGAGCCCCTAGCCCAGTCACTAACTCTGCCTTTTTACACCAGTTAATGTGACAAAATGTTCCCATTTTCGCCCGTCTTCGGGAGCCTGGCGCCATATCTCAATAAGGCAACGGTCATAAGGACTGGAATGGGTGGGTTCTCCCAGTTCGACCCCCACACAAGGTGTTGATAAGCTCAACCATGCTAAACCGGCCAGTTGGGTATGCGCTGCAGTCGTCACTACTACCGCCTCATTTGACGTGACAACTACGGTTAAAAACAACCAGGCATCTTAGCTTGTCTGCCTCTTGAAAACCACGCAGCTCTGGGTTACCCTACCTGTAGCGCGCTGGGCGCATCAGCTGTTCCGATTTTCCCGACATGGGCACAACTCTCGGACAGGGCCAACATGCTGAGTCACACTATCAACCCCAGAGCAGTCCAGGTCCCACACTAAATGGAACGTGGTGAGCAATCTCGTGTGCACAAGCCCAGATAATGTCCTGAATCTGGGCTCCCACGCTGGCGCGTCAATCGGCCCAATCGCCGTGTTCAGTGGCCCGAACCTAATGCCAATTGGCTGAAGCGTGGCGGGAGACGCTCGACATGCTTGGTTGAATTGCTATACTCCCACAGATTAGCAAAGTCGGAGGCACTACTGTTAAGAAAATTAGCCTGAAAATACCACTTCGAACAATCTACTGAGAAGTCGAAAAGACCAGAACGTCTGTCACCTGCAAAAAAAATCTATTCATATTTCATAACCCCCCGGCGCGAATAATCCAGTCAGTTGGTCCTCCAGAAGGGTGTGGAGGGATGGGAAATGGAGAATTCTGCTAATTCGGTCGGGACAGGATTATAAACAGTCGGTTGTCATGGCAAGAAGCAAAATGTGATAAGAAAACACAACTATACACAGACAAACAAACGGTGCAATTTCCCTATTGTCTTCGTCCGTTCTACACAGCCACGCGTTGCTTGCATGAAGCAGTCATGGTCACACACACACAGTCCAAGCACATGCTCTTTGGTGGCCCATCGACAATGTCGCTGTCGTTCAAATTGCGAAGGTGCATCCCATCTCGGGACAGGGGTCGGCTCTGAATGTGTACATCCCAAAAGATTGGTCATTCTGACACACATGAGCATAAACACAAACGACACTTACGTGAGTGTGCATACGCCATATCTCGCACTCTAACCGGTCTCTCGTCTCTACCCAACCACACCCACTCCTGTCCAGCCTCTGCGCTTGAATCGCATTCAACGTCGTCGTTCGTGGTTTGATAGACACAAAGACAGACAGATAGACAGAAAACAAACAACAATGGGATAACCAAGCATTATTCAATCATTCGCTTTATCATGTACCAACCCAGACCGTAGTACGTGAAAGAGGTTGGGGGGGGGGGGTAGAAGAAACATCAGACAATATGCAAAGCAACGCGCAGCCAACGACGGACGAAACGTGAACTCTCGACGAAAAGACACCATGTTGGGTTGGAAGACTTGGAGGAACACTAATGACAATTGATAGCCTATATTTGGACAAAAGACTGCTACAAAGATAATAAACACCAACTATGGAGACTAAACTGTGCATCAGTGTTGGCAGTAAATTTGAGCATAATGAGTGCTTAAAAAAAACACATCGATGACCACATGTCCAGGTGTTATTTGACACCTTGAGGTTGATACACTGTATTGTTGATGTTATTCTGACCCATGTCAACGTCTGCCTTATTCAACGAATCGCAGTTTACCAGTTCTTCCCTGTACCTTTATCTATTAGCTGCGTTCACCAAATATTTTCAGCACTGTGTATGCCGTAACAAATGGAGGTCGGAAGACCCTGAAAGCGTACTAATGAGTAACCGTTCAGGTCTAGAGCTGTTCTCAAAGCTCGCCTCTCTTTTCTTCTTTTTGCGACAATTTTATGGACCACTTCGGATGGGCTTAAAATCACACCAACATTGGATGTTGATGCCTACCACGTTATACTTCGCTGGTTGTCACAACTAACTAAAGCAATCTCTAATTAATTGACTGGCTTTATTTTGTGGAATCGGTAAAAATGTCCATATACAATGATGTCGAGGCACAGTTGAGGAAAATAGAAGATCCTAATAGATCCTCATGTTAGAAACGTGAAAGATAACACGGCCTGCATACTTTCAAATCCCAGTGCAAAATTACGCGGTTTATAGATGACTCAAGAACTGTCAATATTTGACGGTCTAGACATGTGTTATCATTGCATAAACCTCGGAAGTTGATACAAATTCATGCCTGATGTGACCTTAGTTGAACAATATATTGTTTTCTCCCGCGGTACGCAACTGTAAACCTACGAAACGGACAAAGATTATACTTCCATACTAACTTGGAATGGTGCTGTCTCGCTGAACTTTCTCAATACTACTACTACTACCAATAGTAGTAATAATCGCTCAGCTAGAGCACCATTTCGATGCCCAATCTGTCATGCCACCCAAAGGGAATACGAGGGTCGAGAGCTTGCCAGGGTCCCCAAGCCTAGAAGAGAGCAGTCGAGATGCAGAGGTCGGGTTCACCAAGATCGCGCCTTAACCACTGAGCTTCCTCAAATTCAGTTTACTTTGTTGGCGTACTACCAATCGGAAATAGCATTATCTGTGTACTGGTAAGTCGAATGTATCTTGAGTCAAAACTCAGGTATACAAGCAAGAACAGAGATGATGGCAGTTTTCTCCAGGCGATGCAGTGATTGCTGGTTCGGCTAGAGAAGCCCAGTTGTAACCATATATCATAGCTTGTCAGATCAACTCCACGGTGTTCTGTGTTGCGTGCGTTCGATCAAACTTGATCGACCAGGAAAGGAATACCAACGCTTGTCACGAAGAGACTGAACCTTACCGTAGTGCGACATTTTGTGTACCTCTGTGACCCACTGAGCTATACTGGAGAGTGTCCGCGCGACGGTCGCAGTCACCTATACCTCCAGGATGGGGGTTGTAACATGGGATGACCAGAATTGAAGGGGCATTCGGAACGGAGTGTATAACGGAGCGATTCATTGGGTAAGTGGACTGAGACACACACACACACACAATGTGGTAGGAGTTCAGTGATTAAGACGCGAACATGCTGATCAGAAGGTCCGAAGTTCGAACCTAACCTCGGAATCCCGACCGTTCCTGTCTAGAAAAAAGCATCCTGGCAGTGTTTCAGCTCTCGTGCTTGTATCAGGTGGCATGGCAGCTGGCCATCGGAAAGGTGTTACAGTCTAATATTACTATTATTATTATCAGTAGTAGTGGTATTTCAGTGGGTATCATAAATACTCACCGGAGCCGACTTTTATAGTCAAGTGAAAATTGCTTACCGTACCAAATAATGTTTGCATTAACCAATTTCTGTTACCCAAAGATTCTAAACATTTTTGCCCATTTTTGGGTTTGATATTTTGTTCGCCATCCTAATGGTCAAGTTATTGGGATTAGAACAGCAGTAACATCCTTACTCGGAAAGTGAAAACTACGGAAGTGATGCTATACTATGTTTTACTAAAGTGACTTATCGATCTTGGCTACAATGGCTCTGGTACATCCTTCGCCGAACAGATTCCCAAATGTTTATGGTAGACCCGTCGCCAGTGCACCGCTTCAAATGGTACTGTCGCAATGAAGGATCATCTGTAAGCAGTTAGCTTTCAACGCTAAAGGCTGTCCCCACTTCGTCTACGAAATCAACTAATCGAGCAAAGTCACTGGTTATGAATCTAGGTGCTGACTGCTGTTCACTTAATGCAGTTTTGGGAACGACCCATCTCCCTCCGAAAGAAAAACTTCTTTGAAATTTGTCTCCAGAATTCACACATCAGAAAAGCTCACTTTGGTCTAGATTGTGCTGCGATAGGAGCTTGTTAGGTTCACATATCAGAAAAGCTCACTTTGGTCTAGATTGTGCTGCAATAGGAGCTTGTTAGGAAGTCTTTAAGAACGTTCCAGGGTCCACAAGTCTAAGCATGCTTTGGGAAATCTACTGAATCGATTTTCGGCGTGACTTGAAGCAAGGTCAATGTTAGTCCTGGGGTACTTTTAGCCACAAGACGTTAACCTAACGATCTGTTTGACAATGAAGACTCCTTGGCACCTGAAGTAGCCTTCTGAACACAAAAGTGAAAAGCGTCCATACACTGAATGTCTGAATATTTCTTCGGGTAGAAATTGTGGTTCATTTTGAGCAACTACTTGCCGGGGTTTCTTGACAGACAGCTGTTATCGGGATACTAAGGATGTGACCACTGGAATTGTTTGATCCCCAAATTCTGACGCGCGTTGGCTTATCGATTCTTGGGGCTCGACACTCCATCCATTAATCCATTCGTTTTACTGTCTACTTCAGTGAGCAAACGATATTTACGAACTTGGCAGACCTGCTGTTTGGTATCCTTCAATTTGCGATTGTAAAGCACCAAACATGGGGAAAACATGATCACCGCATCCATGTATCTTATCAGCTCCTAAATATGTTCTTTAAGCCCAATCTTGCGTCTCTAGATGGGCGATGACTCAGAATGCGTCTAATTTATTTGATGCGATTGATCCCACTGAATACATTCTTGATGGAAGCAAAAGCTGCTGGTGTCGTCTCGTGTCTGTGCACTTTTAGTGTACTTGAACCTGAACTAATACAAATATCCTGCTGTCTGATTCTAAAAAGTCTATACACCCGGTGCTTCTGGTTCTAATCGAGATTTGTGAACCAATGCAACTTCAAAGATATGTCAACTACTCCACGAGCTCCAGTAATTCTTCCCGCAGGCCCAGATATAATACCAATGCATCCTCTGGCCGCTGGCTTCGAACCCTGGCGACCGGCCGTACAGATGATTAGAAATGCCCGTCTTCACTCTGATCATATCGGTTCTAGCTTGACGCAGTGTCTCAACCAGTTTTTCACGATAGATGTCACTGTAGCCTTGTGACACTTGTGGCACACGGAGAGAACTGACACTCCGGCTCGCCCGACTCCAGCAGTCCACTGATCCAGCCGTTGATTCCATACGTGATAGCTGGACTATTCTCACCTAATTTTCAACAAGCTGACAAGAGTTTGATGTTCGTGTTTCCTACTGATTGCGTCAAACGTATGCGCCAAAAGGTAGGAAACCGTGAGTGAAGAATATACAGTAACTCGCAAAGGAAGACCCTTTGGAAGATAGACCAGTTTTCTGTAGAGCTGAGATCGGTGACCCCTCGTCGACAAGGGTTCAACATATGGACTAGCTCGCAGAGTCCTTCAAAGAAGAGAATTCTGTGCAGAACTGGTGATAAACAGTGAATGTGATTGAGAGTTGTAGTGCTGACAACTCACAGCGTTACTTATTGGAGGAAAGAGCTTATTGGATGGTACAGTTCCATTCAGCCGAAATTCAGTTGGCCAGTTTTTTCAACTATAAATCGTCTACTAGAGTACAGATGTTGCATCTTCTATGGTTGTTCCCCGGAAGAATTAGTGAGCATGAGGAAACGAGAAGGCCACGAACTTGAGGCGAGGATCTCCGTCATTTGTTGAAGTTAAATGTTCTGTTGATGTGATTAAATGTGCCGCGGGAACTCTACGCATTATACCAACAGATTTGATACAAGACCCGTAGTAACCGCGTGACAAGTGATCGACTAGTGCGTCTCAAACGGGGGTCCTCATGACAACGCAACTGACCTGTCCATTAGAGGTTCCAGTGCTTCAGTGTCACATACGGTGACCGTCCATGAATCCAAAGATTATCAGAACTGGTGTTATGAGGCGAATGGCGTTCTAGCACACAACGCAGACAGTCTTACCAGCGTCGTCTACGAACAATGATCAGTTAATCTGTCGCGCGTGAGTTATTTCTCCTGACGGCTACCTAGCTACCTCAAGACTATCTATCCAATGTTTTCACCCGATTCGCACGTGGCCTTAGAAGCCAAAATGATGCCATGTCGGAGCTACACATTCTGAGGGTTAGCAAACATCGCTTTGCCAGTCTTCCGGGACTTTCCAATCGTTTAATCTGTTAGCACGAGGTTTGCTTTTTAGCCCACCCAGTCATGCGAGAAAATTTAAACCTGGTGGTTATGAAGCGAAAATTACGCTGCGCAGTAGAATTGCCCAATATGCTTACGAGTCTGTATTTTGAAGAAGATCAATACCGACACTGTATTCAGTGTCTACAGCAAGCTTCTGAGGAGCGTTTCAGAGTTGTTGAGAAAGAATTCATTTGGCACATCAATAAAGAATTTGAAAATGAAAAAAAGGCAGACGGCATCCTAACTTTATGACAATGAGTGTCACGAACTCAGTGGAGAGCTTGCAAAACATCAGTAGGCTTCCGTCGTGAAGGGCACCGGACACTTACAAAAGACACGATTTTACGAGGAACATAACTGCTTGACAGTTGGTACCGTAGGGTCTGGCGGTCGAGAGAAACAAGAGATATCTGCCAGAAGAAATCGTTTTCATTTGCAAGCCACGGAGAAATGTATCCCGATTCTTATGAATCCCATTGTTATAGTAATAAATCAACCCGTGAAGGAAAATGCTAAATATCACTTTGGAAATTGCGGCTGACATCGAACCCAAGTGTACTGCATTCTACTCTCCGGAAGGTAGAATACCCCATAGTTGGTCGAAATGATATTGAAGCGATTCTCTTGCCTTCCTATAGAAAATCGTACCTAAATATGTCGCAGCGCCCAATATAAGCCCATCTTTACCTGGATAAGGTGCTTGCTTTGACATACGCCAGATCCATCGTCTCTTCTAGTAAAGTGCTAATTCACAGCTAGCTGGTTACGGATTGATTGATTCTGATAGTAAACTGTCGAGGAATCCAGGCTCGTGATAAGTACTGCTGAATTCACAAGCTCTGACACTGTTGCTAGATGCTACTCACATGCCTCCTCAGTAGTACGCACGGTTACACTGATAAAGCTGTAGGCTGCCAAATTTGAATTGATCCATGAATAGTCCCCAAATGAGGTGGGAAAGGAAACAATGAAAAGGGGACATGATACTGCTTTAACGAGATCTACTGACTCGCTGTGAAGTGTTTAGTGTGATTGCGTCACAGTTGGGCTGTTTAAAAGAAAACGAATTTCATCTAATTAGAGCGTATTCTGACGTTTTAGTTAACTTATTTTGTGACGGTGAATCCAAAACTAATTACAGACTATAGCCGAGTGTACATCGATGTTCTCAGGGTTCCATGAGTTCCTGCGTTGTTAATTTCTCCGGGTGTGGATACACTGGTCAACCTCCAGTAGACAATCTCTCAGTATGCATTCACCTCTCTGAATGGAATAATGATTTTAGCAAACCGAAACTTTTTGCCGTTAGATGCCAGTCACTGGAACGCAACCAGTTTTGAAAAAGCACTCACTCCAGAATATGAAATGCTTTCTTATCGGTAGCTTGTGATTGTAGTTCCAACATTTCGTTTAAAGCTATCCAAGCAAAACTACAAGGAACGTACTGTCGGTAAGGAAAGTATCTGAATACGAGAACCCAGCAGATCGGTAATGGGTTTCGTCACCGAATATCTGCTCAGGAACTGGGTCGTTTAGTTGTCAATATGGTATTTTAGTTGGATGTATGTGACGTTATCCCTTCTATCGCTTGACCAAGATGCGCTCACTAGTCAGGACCACCTGGTCATCGGAGTTCTCACGCGGTGCCTGTAATGTGCGGTCCCGGCGGGAGAAGGTATCCAGCAAAGATAGCATTGGTTAACTGCATCTGTTGACGATTCACGCATGTGACATACCGATTCATTTGGATAAAAGTACGTCTCCAGTTCACCCTCCTCATTTAGGTCGCACCAACTTTGAGTAAACCACCAGTCAGTTAACTGATTGTTGTGAATGAAGGGCTTAATCCAGACAAGAATGGCTATGCCCGTTAAAAGTTGCCTCTCATCAGATCAGTGTTAATTGGTACGCAGATCCCGTTAAAAGTTGCCTCTGGTTTCATTCGGTATGGCTCCATTCATACCCATCATTCATCAGATCAGTGTTAATTGGTACGCAGAACCTGAACGTGTGAGACCCATTTGAATTGTTCGCCAGCAAACGATGACCGATCGGTGTTTTTTTGAGCAAAACAAGTAACCTTTTTCCGGTGATTAGTGGACAAACATTAACAGGATGTTTTGGTTCCTCCCTCCCAACAGCGTACTTGTTAGACGATGAAGTGAGCGATCTACCTGAACACTGTTTGGAGAGAATACTGCACTTGAACGCCAGTTGTCGTCCTCTGGAAACACACTCATCAGAAGAGTGCTTCTCGTCGATACCTTACTGTGTTTTCCTCAAGCAAAGTAGCTTCGGCGGACCTGCCGATAAACAACCGTGTTCGAAGACCTATTTTCTCCGGATATGCGGAAGTTACCTCGTGGAACGCACTTTTGTTCTTTAATTCAGTCCCCAACAAATGATGTGTCAATGCCCAAAAAGCTGTCGCAATCAGAAAAAGAACTGAGCACGAGGTAGTGAAGCTACTGGCCGGAAGGTTTGTTTTTTTTGGACCCAGTGTGGATTTTCAATTGCTGCTGTCTAGACTAGATCAATCTGGAGGCATCTCAGCACTCGTATTTCTTCTGAAATGCATCGAAAAATTACTACGGTTGAACGATCTACTCCCCCCACACATGAGATACTGCTATTATGGTTGCATAAAATGTCTCAAAAGCCTTCTTGGGGCACACCTAGCAATCCCCGAATGTTCGTCCATGTAGGTGGACCCAGACTGCACGAAATTCACCGACGACACTCATTTGCACATCAATTTAGTTCTAACCGGAGACTCACTTGAACCCCTCGTCTATTATGATGTTCTTCAACTGAGTTTGTTGCACACACGTTCCTCTGTGATTCAGTTGGCACAATATTTAAGATATAGCAGCATATTTTCATCCAAGTAATGTGTTGCGTCAGTGAAACATGGTGCAAGTTATCGAACACCGTACCAATTGAAACATGAGGTGATCTTGCGCAGCACATTTAGTCGAAGAACATCATAAAGAAGAGATTCGGTTGAACCCCTCGTGAAAACTCGTTATAATTTGCAAACGAGTACATTTCGTCATTCTTTGTTTTTTATACATTGGAAATTCATTTTAGCAGCTAGTAACAATTAGTTTGCTTGCCAAAGTGGGAATTTTAGTTGATGGGGACATGCTTTACGAATTCTGTTCACTTCCAGAAATACTAAGAATTTGATCTGAACTACCAAGCTGTTGACCTAGTATGGCCATTCGTCCTTGCTGGTTGTCTATTCTTAAGAAGAACCTGGCAAATACGTGAAAAATACTTGGAACCTATTGGCTAGTCATCGTTTTCGAAAAAGTTTGGTGACAATCGGTAGATTTATTGCTGGGCAACGTTTCGCTTCTGAAAACCACCAATGAATGCAGAAGAATACCAAACGCTGGTCAAAGACTCAGCGATGGCGGTACATGTCTTAGACACGGGACACAGAATAGATCTGGAGAATGTGGAAGGTTTAAGACGGGGACTGCGATTCACACCACAGCGGCTGATAGCCGAGGCGGTGGAAATCACTAAGCATCACAGCGTGAATATAATCGAGGGTGTGGAGCTAGCGAGCGTATGGAAAGCGGTCTTAGATAAGCCGAGTTGACATGTGACGGTGTGGTTGTCAATTCACTTCGGATCATTAGGAAAAATCGGGGGGTAGGGGTGGAAACCCCAACCGACCAAAGGTCACAGCATCTCTCCTACACAACTTCCTTAGCACTAGCTCACCACACAGACTAACAGAAGGTTCAAACGAAGTTCAAGAGGAACCATCAAATGAACCGAACCGGAAGAACTAGACCCTAGGCTGGACCCAAACACACGTAGGTTCCCCACCGACCCAACACTTGTTCAACCACTCTAACACACTAAAAATCCCTCGGCCGACACCCAACAGAGATTTAGCTTGACTTAGCTGATTGGTTCTCCTTCCGCCTTAAATCTCGACCAACCTCGGAACCTAGTCACTTGGCCTGGCGAAGCTTTTGTGTCAAAAGCGAAACGTTGCCCAGCAATAAATCTACCGATTGTCACCAAACTTTTTCGAATACCTGCCAAATACTTTCACACACTGGGCTTGCGTCACAACCCTACTGACAGGGTGTATGGTGTGACGACTGGTTCTGTTAGGCATACGACAGGCACCTGAAAAGAAAATCTGAGCTGGAGAAAGTTCAGTAGTTAGGGGGCGAACTCAACATCAGCATCTCTACTTCTCCTGTCTACGCTTAGCGACCTTGCACTGTCTCAGTCCTCGAGCCTCTTTCAAGTGGTATGGCATCGTAGGCGTGTTACAGCTGAACGAATGTATGAGGATCCTGAAGGGATTAGCCTCAGAGTACAGTCTGCTTGCCAACAGTTGACGCATACTGAAAAAAGGCAACCTGGTTGAACAACCGGTTAGAACCTAACTGAGAACTCAGGTTTCACGAGGCTGCTGGCCCTAAGCGAATGCTGGAAATCTGCTTAAGCACCGCTCTCCTCTAACTGTAAACTCATGTTTCACCATAGGATATTGAGCCCAAGAACATCATACAGACATGACAAATTGATTCAGTGTTCGACGCAAAACCTGGTATAAAATTCTACCAACCTGGTTCTTTGCAGGAAGGTTCACCCGGCTTGAATACGGGCAAACAGCGTTTTTTCAGAGTTTTCACTGATCTCAGTGTGAACAAGTGATCGCAATAGGATCACATGAATGTAAGTCAGCAAATCGATTGGCTGCGCTTAGACCTGCCACCATGCATGGTAAAGCTGGGAAACTGATAAAGAGACAAAAACCAATATACGGGTCGGATTTATTAAACCTGACTGCATCTCGGACCCAGATTCTTCAGACACAAAGTAGTGCACGAATGATAATGATCTTGTCTTGTTTCCAACAGCTACGCGTTGCAGACACTCTTAAAACGACTTATATATTCTTTCTAGACTGTACGATCTCTCAGAGGCATATTTATATCCAAGTGTACATCCACTTGGCGATGTAAATAGCCCTAACGATGTGCCACTTTGTTCATGGTATTATCTTATGTATTGTCAGGTTTTGGTAACTTGTGTATGCATCAGGTTCCCACCTTGTCTTTTTGTTTTCGATTCGGTCATTTAGTTCTGAGGTACCCAGGTGGGGAAAACACTCCCCCGATGAAGTAACCCCATGGACTTTGGTGTTCTCGGGGAAGTTGAGTAACGGGAGACTCAACAGCATCTCTGGTTTGTTGCACGAAGGTCGCTTTATGTTTCATTTGGCACGACCTTCGAGATATCGAAGTATTATAGTCTTGAAATAGCACACTATCGAGTGATTTAAGTTCACCAAATTTGAGTAAGTTCATTCGCTTGCTTTAGTCGTCACAGAGGTGGTCAGTACACCAACAAAAAGCGAGCTGGTGCGTTTCATCTGTGTGTATTTGTTAGACGTGCGCCATGTTGCTCTAAGTATTAATTTGCAGGCTGGAAAGGAACACATAGCTCCTCATTTGTCTCTCGGCTTCATCGATATGGGGAAATACAAGACCACAATTTAGAAGTACTAGCTAGTTAATGGGATTTCTTGAGGAAGTCAACTCATGTTCCTAGTGTTTCTTTTTCGAGATACCGGCGCCTATTGCCAGTGTGTGCACTATCTTCCTGAAACATTGATCCGAACCTCTCCGGATGTTTCTGCGTGGGTGCCAACTCAGGATGTCACACGAGTGACACGTAGGTTGGATGTCACTGCGCTGCTACGACATACACGGCACGCTCAAAAGTACATGTGGCCTGTGAGTGCGCGTAGGTGGTATCTACGGCACCTGCCACGGCAAACTCACGTAGACAGGTGAGACGTGTGCAGAGTCGGTGAAACATTTGGGGGCGGCTGAAATCACGGGCATGAAAATGCCCGCTGGAATTGAACGTCGTACAGTCTGAGTGCGCGCTGGTCTGAGGGGACAATTTCCCCTGATTTGTGCTCACATCAATTGTTTTGAAGGTATTCGGTGTGAAAGAGACATCCGCAATAGAAACAGTGCAGTGGACGGAGCCAGTGTGTTTTTTACTGACGCTTTCCGAAATGTACCGCTTGGAGTACAAGGAATCCCCCTGGGAATTACAGACCACCTTCGGAGAGGTTACAGAACTGCGAGTCTGATCACTCTATTGAGTTTAGAATCCGAGTTCTGAAAGGTACCGCTATGTATGCATCTTATGCAAAATATGTTACGACGTACCACAAACACGCTTCAAGGAACAGCTGATTTCGTCTGGAAATGTTGGCTCGCTTTGACCATTTAGTACAAATTTTGATTTACGATATCCACGTTCATATAGTTATTTCTTTAATTCAACCAATGAGACATTCACTGTTTTTAATTAGTTTACAAGGCCTTTCAACGCCTTCTTCTCAATAGTGAGTGGTCGCAACGTTCACTGGGATAATTTCGTCACGCTCCTCATGCAACTGAGTCGTACTCGGCCGTGCATAGCTTGTTTTCACCATCTAGCTGGTCGGATACTTTTCCCAAGTATCAATGAACTGCATAATTTATATGAACTGTATACTTTATACCGTGACCCCAGTTCCCGAAAGCGGACACCAACGGACCATGGGGGAATCAAGATGATTCGCCTTCGAGTGGTCGAGAGTTAGACACCGTTAAGAGACCATAACATCACTTTCTAAAGCATCCGATCGCAAAACAGTGTCGCTTACATTACGATCGTGCTATATGAAGTGTATGGGCGCTGCGGTAGCAACTCATTGGTTATGTGAGTTCGACAAGAGCGATCGATCCGTTCTTCTCATCGCGAGATGGCTCAAGTGGTTAGAGCGCGAATTTACTGACCGGAAGGTCCGTGGTTCGAACCCGACCTCTACCTCTCGACTTCCCCTGTCTAGGCTTGGACAACCTGGCAGTATCCCAGCCCTCGTGCTTCCAACGGGTGGCACAGCAGCTAGGCATCGAAAGGGTTACAGATGAACGAATTGTTTTTTTTATTTCCTCATCGCTAAAAATTTCATGCTATCAATATCAACTTAATAACATCAAGAATGTGGTCAACCAAGTGGGAAACCCATTCATTCCGAAAGCTTTTTCAGCGGATCAAGCCACCAGTCACTCACTTTTAGATGCAATTGTTTCAGGTTCCTCACTTTACCAACAGAGGAACGCTGTATCCAGTTTTTTCTGCTTATTACAAAAAAATTAACGAAATTAATTGAACTTCATTCGAAAGCGCATCACGAATTCCACCAAAAGAATGTTTGGTGAACTACATTCAAATGCAACTTAAATTCGTGTTGATGCGGGAGACTTAATTAACTCCCAGCTGAACCTCTCGATCACCATATTCCCCAACTGTGCTGCACAAAGGTCGCCTCATGCTCCAGTTAGTACGATATTCCACGTGAACGAAAGGTTCAGCTGGAATTCAATTGCACCCACCAGTTTAATTTCACCAATTGTGTAAAGCTTCATGTTCAAGTAGAACATAAGGTTGTCGGAAACTCAGGGACTGTGTCCACCTGATGAGTCCGAGGAAAGGCAAAACCGGTCGTGGGCTGTCCAAACGTTTTCAGCAACCTGACGAGTAGTATGTTCCGTAAAAAAAAACAAGTTCGAAGATCAGTTCAAAACGCCTGAATCGGGCCTCACACAAACCACAGTAAAACACTAGTTTTGATTCTCACATTTCTCTATAACGGGTAGTATAGTGAAAACACCGACAAAATAACAAAAATCGATGCAATCCACTACATAAATGTGCAAAAAAGGGAAAAATAGCTTCTTCGACTATTTTCAGGCATCTCGGATGTCCTTACCCAACACGTAATTCACCAGAATATTATCCCTTCACTTGCTTTCACCTTGCCACAGTCTTTTGGAAGCTGGGCGTATGTTAGATAATGCACTGATTCGATTTCCGCAGCCAGCACTGACAGTCCATTCCTGATTGGTACCGGGAAAGGTCTTGGAAAAAGATTCGCGGGCAACCCGAACTAGTTTAAACGGTTTGTGTACGAGGTTGCTGCTAGATGACCTCCCTCAGTGAGTTTAGTTGACCACAAGGAAATCAGCGTCAAACCCACAGAGCCTCGACTTATTCTGCCTAACTGTAAACTTTTGGGGGTAGAATTGGAATCAAAGGTTTCCTTGGCGGTGCACTCAAGAGCTGTTATCTCAGCTAATAAAAAAAATCAAAGACTGAACATAAAATACTTACTGTTTTGCGACTGCCTTCCAGAGGGATGTTTCGACTTCTCGCCTGACCAACTTATCTGATGTGATTTGTAGACCGCCTGCGCTGCGTGTGGAGCTGAATCCTCTGTTTTTACTGTCGGAGAAGCTTCGGTTTGTTGCTGGGTTGGAGAGGAACACAACTGCGAAAGCAGATAGGATCTGAGTAGATTGAGTATGACATCCGGGTTATTGGGGGGCATCCATAGAGGCGTCTTGCTGAGCAAAGTTTCATCCGGATGTTGGGGACCACGTTGAAGAAGATTGTCCAAACCAGTGTGCCAGCCATTGGGGAACACATGTTGCGAATTCGGATCGTTTACAGTGGGAGGCGCTTGTGCATTTCCCATTGTGTACTGTGGAACAGATAAATCCGAAGAACCGGGTCTATTGCTAGATGTGGGCTCTATGTACGAGAGCAGTTGATGTCCCATAGTCGGGGATCGGTGCACATCAGCAGTATACGGCGTTTCCGCCGGAACAGCATGCGCGAAAGTGATCCACGGTTGTAGCCCCAGTTTTGGACAAGTGGCTGGATGTGGTCTGCTTCCGCGACCGATCGGCCTATGAAAAGCGACAACACGGAAAAATTGCTTCCAGCGGAGAAACAACACTCGTAAGATAATGTGAACCACCGGCCCGATGCACAGCTGTTTGTCTGAACCGATTGACGTGTACTCTATAGCAGACAGTGTCTCATTCTAGCCCCTAAATAAGGCCCGTTATGTCGTCAACTCTTGGTGTGTCTGGTAAGTTTGCATGCGGAGTGCCGACCATCAACAAGGTTTGGTAAACAACTGCACTGCGGTGTGCGTATGTGTGAGTACACAGGAGCGTACGAACAAACAGACAAACGCGTGTAAGGTGTGACCCCGCAACAGGGTGGAACTCAGCGGTGGCTAAAGCAGTTGGATTGTGTTCGCTGTGGGTGGTAGCGTTTGTGGTGTGGTTAGAAGTTTTGCGCACGTGCCATAAACGTGTCGGCGCCAATACGAAGCGTCTGCCATTTTAGACCAATGAAAGAAGGCAATAAGGGACCAATCAAATAGAGCGTTGAGCCAGTGAAGACTTTCACGTAACCTCGACATCGCGTTGGCTCCGCCTGCGGTTTTCTGGCCTACTTTTAAGACAGACATGTTTTTTTTCTGCGTAAAGTGGAAAAGGACAGTGCACTGAACTTTTGCTGTTTCACTTGGTGGCACTGGTCGTTTAAGGGCCGCTTATTTCATCAGACGCATAACTTACTGATTACTTCGAATGAATCGGGGAACCACAGTATTCTGTGAATAAAAACCAGCAGCTTGACTGATATTTCGGTCAGATAGTGTCTGAGGCCAGAATAACCTCCCCATGCCTTCAGCAACGCTTGAAGTTTCTTTTCTTTCACCAAGTGATTCTCGTGTTAAAGAAAGAGCGCATCAAGACAGGATAAGATTATGATAAGGATTTCCGGTGATAACGCTATACAACCGTATACTTAAAAGTTGCACTGCCAGTTTCGATAACCTATACGTCTTTTTTTCCTCAGAATTCAATGATGTTCATTTGCTGAATCGGAGAATCTAATCCAAAGAATGGTACAACCAGCTAGCGAATTCGTGATAGATTGCATCAGGTTCATATAAGTGGTAGAAAGTGAAGGAATTACGTGACAGCTCCTCTATTTGCTATTCTCGGCATCCGATGGGATTAAAACTCATGGAATTAGCTACTGAGTGTCGAATTTTGGCTACACTGGTCGACGCATGCAAGCACTTTAGGCTGTTGGTTTTTATGCGAGATAATGGTCGATGTGAACAGGACACAGGTCTGTGCGTGTAGCTGTTCAATTACCTATCATTTCCAAGAAATCCGGTCCTTTTCTACCACCTGAGATAACATTTAGGTCGGTCTACTAGTTCGGCAAAGTTTTGCAGACCAAAATAGAATTTTACTTTCCTCGTCTCGTGAAGATCAACCCTTTGTGTGTGTGCGCGCGCTCGCCAATCATTCTCTGCGGATGTTGGCGCCAGACTACACACCCGTAATGAAACTGCAAGTTTGTGGAAGCCCAGGTGGCAGTTTCAGTCATGGGAATGGTTATCACTCACTTGTGTGGGATGAAGAATGCCAGCAAGCATATTTGCTGGCGTAATAAATTTGTCCCGTTTCAAATACAGTCGTCACAGAGTCGTTCAGCTTGCTGAATTTCAGACCACCATCGTGGAGGAACTACCTTTCAAAGTAAAGCAAGCCTAGCTGATCAGTCTGGATGTTCCTCACCAGCTGGAGTGCCGTCCTTGGGGCAGATAACAATCTAGCTAGGGTTGACAACCTTTGATGGCATGGTCTCTCCGATTTAGACACAGCTTGCTGGCCCAAAGTGGACTGAGAAACCCAAGATGGAGGTCGTTTCGAGTGAGAACTTTTGCTTGTAGCTTAGGTTCCCAGTGTGTATGGACACCGATCGATGTTGCGTTCCCGAGCAGGCAGCTGTAACATGCGGTTTTCCAGAAATTAGATTTGGTGGTGGCCTAACGAAAATGCGTTAAATTTGACTATATCAAGAGTGAGGTTATAGTTCATTGACCAGCCATACACTAATATCTGTCAAAACAATATTATTGGGGATGCGGTAGTTCTAGGGCGTTTTAGGCCATCCCAGACAGTAGGAAACTCAAGGTGACTATGGATACGAGGCAGTTACTGTAAGCTGATGTGTTCACCCGTATCACCCCTCTGGTGCACGAGAGCTGGGATATCGCCAGGTTGCCCAAGCTTAGACAGGGGAAGTCGAGAGGTAGAGGTCGGGTTCGAACCACCGACCTTCCGGTCAGTAACTTCGCGCTCTAACCACTTGAGCCATCTCGCCCCACTGTGAGCTGATAGTAGTCGAGGACCCCTGCGGTACTCTGCGTTCTAAGTAAATGGGTCTTGCTAACATTTTCTGGACCCGTTACTGCTGTCTTCTTTCAGGAAAGTTGTTTTCGATCCATGCTATTAATTTTTCCTTTGTGCGGTGTTTCGAAAATACAGTGCCCTAGTTTACAAAACCAAACACCCTGGAAATGTCCACTCATGTTGGAGCACTCACCGTCCAGTTGTTCCCAAAAAAACCACTAGGTTAGATGTGTACGGATGCTGTTTACAGAGACCGCATTGTTTTGAAGCGAGCAAAGCGTGTTGTCCGAGAAGCTTCATTCTGTAAGCTAATGTGGTCTTCATGATTTCGTGGAGTATTGGTAAGGGGGTTGAAGGTTGGTAGTTTGTATGGTTGGCTCTGACGTCAAAATTTTACACGTGGCTGCGCAAAAACAAATCAAGTGAGCTAGAGGTATTTCTGACTGTCACCTTAGATCGTTGTGAAGTTGGTTGATAACACTGGAAAGCCTGTCATGTTGTTGTTAATGACAACATTTTCAGTAGATTATGCTGGACCCGGAGGTTCCGATGCATCGACAGCAGAATTTGCAGTCCCAAAACAGAAGAGTACTCCAGATGTGAATCTTTTCCTCCGGTGACTGCTGTTATTTTTGTTGTATTCAATGTAGTTAGAGATGAAATACCATTCCGATAACATACATACAAAGGGGCATGTATAGACGTAATATACTACTCATGAGGTTTCTGAAAATTCTTAGAAACATCATAAACGAGAGATTCAGCTGGGTTCCAGGTTAGTCTCTCGGAAGGCCTAATTTGTTTGAGGATGGGTGTATTTCACTAAGAGGGGCATGCAGTTCTTCCAGAATCGATCTGTAAGTCTCTGTTGGTGCCGAGCTTCATCCTTGCGTTTGAATTGCGCCCAAATTTGCCCTACAACGGTAATCCTTGATTATCCTGTTCAATCAGCATACGAGAACTTCCATATAGTGCTTCTAGCTAGATCCGCTGGGGTTCCATAGTGCGGCTGACCTGAAAGGCCATCGGTGACTATCCCTTCCTTGGATGATGTGAGATCTAGCGAGCTACGGCCTAGGAATCTGGTCATTATGTGGACAACAGTCTCCTGGTATTGAATTTATGCTGGAACTGTGTTTTGAAACGTGCCTCTTACTGAGGAGGTTGCCTCTACTAATGTGACATCAATGTTTCCCACACTCAGGACCTAAGTGAACCTTCTATACAATCAAGACTAATCTGTGGAAAGAAAGTTATCCATTGTATCGTTTTAGCTGGGTACATCGCATACAACCTCCAACAGTTCTACAACATTGCTGTGCATATCATCTTATAATTTCGGACTAGAAATGCACCTATTCTGCGGATTATTTCAGTCATAGGTAAGCATGCCGCTCCTTGTCGGGGATCATCGTATACAGACAACTTGTTAAGGAACGAAATTGCGGCATCTGCAAGTTCTTCAGATAGCCAGGTATCGATCACGGAAATTGCGCCTTATGAATTGGAACTCGGCATAAAACAAACCTCTGAGAGACTACCCAAAAGGAAAAACTTGGAGAGCTCGTGTTGATTCTGGACTAGTTTTCTGTTGATTCGTTGCAGTTCACAAGGTGTTTTTCGTGAGACTACACAAAGATCATGCGAGTGGTAGTTGCGAGTTCTGGAAACATGAATGGAACCAGACAGATTTCTATCTCTGTCGGAGTTCCCAGGGACGGCTGAAATGAACATTTATCGCGCTAACGACCAAAGGCCATATGTCAGAAGTCATTTTTATCTCTCGTATTGACGTAACACATTGCTCCTAAGGTTACCGAAAAGGGCTTCGACAGCCCATGACTAGTTTTGCCCCTCTTTTGGCTCATTAGGTAGGCTCAACCCCGGGTTTTCGTCAACCTTATGTTATACTTGAACCCAAAATGCATGAAATTATCGCGATCATTTGAATACTAATTTGGTTGCCATGGCGACCCACTTGAATCTCAGCTGAGTCACCTGTTTATGATGTTCTTTATCACCCAAGAAGAAGTAAACAGGACTTTGGCTGTCGAAGAGTTTGCTGGGATTCAGTTGAGCATTCCGTAAAAACAAAGTTGATGTACAAATGAGTGTATTTCGTCCATTTTACCCTTCTTTCAATTCGGAAAACCTGGGATGAGTTATCTACTTGACAGAAAAAGAACTCGCTAATTTCATAAGTCAAACATAATGACTGTGAAATTTTTTTTAGTTGAGTTGAGTAGCTTGAACCAATCCTGCTGCATCTAGCAGGGTGTTAGTTACCGCCAAATCACACAACCGGTGTTTTATCCCGGCACCTAATTGTCTTACGCAGGGCACGTATGCAGTAGTGATCACAGGACAGTCAGTCAACCGAGCTCCACAAGTCTCCCCTGGACAGCTACGGAACACCTGTAGCAGCCGTACTACAGAGAAGGCACGTCCCGCGTCCGGAACTTCACTCAGGAACTCTCAACAGTTGTCCTCAAATGATAAGTCACTTTTTGCCTTATTCCACTTTTCGCACTGTATCTATTTCTATCGAATGCACATAACTTTTGTAGTTATCATCAGTCTGGTAAAACAAACATTTGCTAGAGCTTGTTGTCACCTTCTGATGATCAACCTAATTACGTCACAACCAGATCACTGACAGTTGGTGAGCCCGACGAGACAGCTGGCCGTTTCTATTGCGTTTATCTGTATTTTATTCACGCTGTGGTTACGCGCACTTACTTCGCCATGCAGATTTCTCCAGTAGGAGAGAAACTCCGAACTTCCATCACATCAACACGTAACACCAATGCCGCGTCTGTCG